CCCAGCTGATGCCGGTACCGGGCCGCGCCATGAAAAAGGTTGGGGATACCGGGCCGCGGCATAAAAAAGGTTGGGGATCACTGCTTTAGAAAATAGCTTGACCCCTTCCTCTCTGTGGCAGCCCCTCAAATATTGGAAAACTGCTATCATGTCTCCCCTGATCCTTTTCCTCACTAGACTAGCCATGCCCAGTTCCTGTAACCATTCCTCCTGTAACTGTTCTATGTCTTAGTCTCCAGTCCCCTAATCATCTTGGTTGCTCTTCTCTTCACTCTTTCTAGAGCCTCAACATCTTTTTTATAGTGTGGTGACCAAAACTGGATGCAGTAACAATGAATAGTATAGGTAGCCTTGATTATTTGTTTTGGAACCTGTATTTTGATTCCTCACTGGACGTTCAAAGACCTTTTCTTCCTTACTTGCAAGCTTCTGTGGGGGAGAAAGTAAGAATTTCCCTTTCTACCAACTTTCCTTACATTTGGTAGAAGTGGCAAGATTTGCAGGCCAAAGACTGTTTTCCTTAATACCACCATTCCCCTAATTGATTTGAGATTACTAACATTTATCAGCACAATGGACATAGTTAACTTTCCTCAAATCTTCCCCCAAAGGCCAAAATATTTCTGTTCCTGTTAAAGATATGCATCTTTAGAGCTGCAAATAATATTCTTTATAAATGCAGCTTCCGTTCTGTAAAAGATTATCTCCTGGTTTACAGCTTAAAAAGTAATTACCAGCTTTTTGAATTAAAGAATATTATCAGGCCTTTAGCGTCATTCTTATCTCGGGAAAGAAGCCCGTTTCTAGGGTTTTTAAAGATGAAATATGTCTCTCCCTTGATCTTGTTTGTCCTTGGTGAAATGCCAGTTTTATTTTGCCAGAGAGCCTCTTTAATTTCACTTTCCACTTCAATGCTGGTGAGTCAGATTTTGTCCCTGGACTAAGCTAACTCGCTGTTTGAAAGATGACAGAGGTGCACTGAACTGATGGCTTTGGGAAGTTCCTCCAAAGTTTATTAAAGTCTGCAGCACATCTGCTGCTTAGATGGATATATAGTTGAGCAAAAAGAGGCCAATTTACTGAATATTCCTCAATTCTGTAATAGATCTGTGGTACTACAAGATGCTCTTCTCTTGTTTTTTCTCCCTCAATATTTCATTTTTCTCCTCCAGATTTGTGCCTTTTTAATTCATTGATGGCTGTTTACATAAATCAGTAAATTTACCATTTAATTAAGAAGCATATTAAGCTATATGTAGCAACTGTTAGATAAAGAATTCCCAGGGCCCATGATCAAGAGGCAGAGCTTTAATAATAGAATATTGACAGTGTTCAACTGATTTCCTCCCTCCCTCCTTCCCCTCCCCTCCCCTTCTTTCCTTTCATCCATCTATCCATCCATCCTTCTTCCCTCCCTCTTTCCCCTCCCCTCCCCTCCCCTTCCTTCCTTCCATCCATCCATCCTTCTTCCCTCCCTCCCTTCCTCGGAATGCCATCAAGAATATAGTTTGAAAATTGCTGGTCTATCTTTTAGCCCTAGGGTAGGTAACTCATCCAATCCTAGCCACATTTGTCCCTGCTTAGCTTTTTTCGTACCAGGCAGGGTTGAGAGCTGCTGCCATCTGTTGGCCATGCATGTAGCTACCTGTCTTTAACAAAAGCAGCATACTCCATCTTTTTGTGCCTACATTGTGCTAGGACTAGATAACTTTTTGATCTCCTCTTTCTTTTAGTGGAAACAGTTTACTGAAGTGTGGCACTTTATTGACGCAGAGGGACAAGGCATACATAGGTCTTCAATGAATATAGCAGTTGTATTAAAAAAAAATGGCTGGCCTACAGCTGCCTTCAAAATTAAGAGCGACTCAGTACATTTCTTGCTTATGGGGTGTCCATCTCTCAGCTGCGTTACTACCCAAACTCATAAATAATACAGATTGCCCTTTCTAAGCAAAATGTAGGCTCTTCTGTAAAATATGAGCTTAAAAGATTAAAAAATGCTGCAGCTCTCTGGTTTATTTGTATGTTTTATTGCCTCCTTTTTAAAGCAATTTCACTTGACTCGTAACCTCATAAAAGTTTAAACTCCACATTCAGTTCTGGGGGAGAGTCTCTCTCTCTCTCCCCCTTACCTTCTAGGTACTTTACCAGCAGGCTTACTTATTTTGCCTCATTCGAATGCAGTTTTCATCGTGTCTTTCCACGTTCAGAAAAAAGGCTTAGAAAAGAGACTCTGCATAGATTACAAACAAACTGAAAAACAAACTTCAGAAACTCTGGGTATTTGTTCTGATGTCTCCTCTTTATAAAGAGGACACATACATCTTTCGGTGTCAAGTTGCCATCAGAAAGATGGAAAAGCTGTAACTGTCAAGCAGGTTTCCTTGGTTCACCAAATTGTAAAAATGGGGGGTGGGTGGGTTGAGGAATATCAGATGACATCAGATCTAATTCTCGACTCTAGGTAGGATGTGTGTAGGGGAAGAGCAAGTAGAGCTGGAAGGCAGAGTTAAATGCATCATCAGTTTGGAATCCCTTCATAGTCAGCCAAGTTGAACCCTACTTGAATTCTGCTGACCTTTATCTAGCGCCAATTTAGTGATGGCCGCTAATTGAGGAGATTCTTGTGCATAAGCTTGAATAAATCTTCTATACTGCAACTTTATGAATGGTTTGGGTTCTTTGCACCTGACAATCTATGTTCTGACCTAGGTCCCCAAACACAACAAACCCTCTGTAGTTGAAGCAATGATTCCTTTATTAGGAACCCCAGCAAAAAGTTTCTCTTTCACCTCAGGCTAACAAGTCTGTCCAGCAGGGAGATGAATAGTTGTCTGCCACATCTATTCATCTCCTCCCCCTGCCTTTTATCCCCAGAGCTAGGGTGGGGCTTTGCTAGCAGTGGTGGCTCTTCCATCTCAAGGACCGTCCCATAGATTTCCGCTGTTCTCCTCTCCTCTGCTTTCTGCTCATCCATGCTTCAGGCACTGGACCCAGCTGTTTCTCCTCTTCCTCATCAGCCACGTCCAGACTTGGAGGCTGTTGACTCTCCATCTGAGGGCTCACGGATGGCCCAGGGTCCGCCTCTGTCTCTCTCTCTCTCTACCAGCTCCATTTCCTCTTCCCTCTTGGAGCTCTCAGGTTGCCTTGATGCTGACCCTTACTCCCACGCTGCCTCCTCCTCTTGATTCAGCTGCTGGAGGGGCCGCCGGCCGACAGGCCACAATACTGTAGCCCAAAATGCAATGTATTTAATTGCTTTAGTAAATCGCATTTTGTGTAGATTTTGATGCATCGCCTCTTAAAACCAGGGTGGGGGTTTTTTTTTTGGAAAAACGACACCACACAGGCTGTGATGTCATCATGCGAACTCCGCCCTTGTACTGAAGTTGCAGGGCTTCCATTGTGATGTCATCAGGACAATTTACTTGCCTGTCCTCCCACGCCTGATGCTGACGGCTGGAGATGTTTGACCAATTCCTTCCTTAAACGCATCCCGTGTCTCAGCCTGCTTCATTAGGGCTTGTGTTGTAGTGCTGAATCAAAGGGGTTGCTACTGCAGGAACAGGCTAAAACCTTAGTAAATATCCATCTAACCTCTCAGGAGGTCTCCAGCTGATTGCCAAGCAAAGGCAGGCACATCTTTTGTTTATTTGCAATTTGTATAAACGGTTGCATTCCAGAGAGACTCCAGGGAGAGTTCACAAGAAGGCCGAAACTGTGAAACACAGCAGATCATAAACTCTGTTAAAAAAAAGAAATCAGAATTCATAATAAGGGTTTGCTGTCTAAGTCTCCAGGATAACTTTTGCATCCCAGGTGGGTCTATTACCAGGGTCTCCAACCTTAGCAACTTTAAGACTTGTGGACTTCAACTCCCAGAAGCTGAGGAATTCTGAGAGTTGAAGTCCACAAGTCTTAAAGTTGCCAAGGTTGGAGACTCCTGACATCAGAGTTTAAATGGGTTTTCTAAAGGAAGGAAAAGTAGGTGTTGTTGAGAGAGAGGCTATTCTAAAGCAAAGGAAGCACAATCACAAAGAAATACAGGTAGTCCTCAACTTACAACAGTTCATTTAATGACCAAAGTTACAACGGCACAGGAAAAAAAGTGACGAATGACCACTTTTCACACTTACAACCGTTGCAGTATGCCCACAATCATGGGATCAGAATTTAGACACGTGGCACGATTTACTCACATTTATGACGGTTGCAATGTCCTGGGGGTCACGTAATCCCCTTTTGCATCCTTCTGACAAGGCAAAGGCAATGGGGAAGCCAGATGCACTTTAACAACTGTGTTCCTAATGCAGGGCATCAACTCCTAAAATATTTCTGTGGTCTTTTTAGAGTTGCCAACAGAAAGGGAGGGGGGAAAGGGGTTTGAAAGAGCAGTGCGGCAGCTTGGAAATCGAAAATGCATTCCATAAATGTTTTCAAAGATAGTAACTAGGTGACCGAAGTTTCTGCCGTGCAAAATTCTAACTGGAGAGCATGATTGATGACTCTTGGCTATGGATGTGTCCCATTGGAGAATATGAATTATGATACACCCAGCGGGTGGGGGAAAACCAGGGTCAAGGGTGCCAACGAATGATGTATCTCGAAGTCTGCTACACCCAGACAATGTCGGACATGTTAACTTCCAATAAATCCTTTTGAAGTTTTGGAAGTTTGGCTTGAGACTCATGATTTAATTGGGGTAACTGCCGGAATCCTGACACAGGGATTCACTTAACAACTCTGGCAAGGGAGGTGTTAAAATGGGACAAACCTCTCTTAACCAACAGACCTTTTGGGCTTAATTGGGGTCTTAAGTCGAGGACTATCTGCCATTGCCTCTGCTTGGATGGGGAAGGGAGGTAGGAAATCTTCAGCTTCCTTTTTCCAGGATGGAAGGACAGGACATGGCAGATTCTTGGTAAACCGAACACAAATTTCCACAAGAAGTTTGGTTGAGAAAACCTCCAGGGTATCCCAGCTGTAATCCTGTTTATTTTCAGATTCTTTGGCAGCTGCCGCAGCCTGACAGAAAGTCTTCCAAGCAAGACTGACTGAGATGACAGGGAAGCAATTTCAGGAACGGAACATTTTCCCACTTAGAACCAATTAATCCTCGTGTTGTATATATGGGTGGAGATGTTGTGGTTTTTGTTCTAACAGCCTTGTTGTAATCTGGTGGGGAGACAGGCCTTTTCCTTAAAACAAGAAGCCTGAAATTGACCGTGAACATAACCTCTCAAATCTGCTTCACTCTGGGAACCAGGTTGGAGAAAGCTTAGCAAGAAATATGTCCTTGACTTATGACCATAATGGTTGCAAAATGGCTCACCAACGTACCTGACCTGTACCAGATTTTGTGATCTTTTTTTGTTTTGCAGCAGTCATTAAGCGAACACCGGGGCCATTAACCAATTGTTCACTATGGCCAGTTTTGCCAAAAACTGGAAGCTAATGCTGTTTTTGGTCAAAACCAATTGCAAAACCTGTGTCGACCATCCCGTTGACGTACACAGCAAAAGAAAAAAAAATCTGGGGACATTATTTTTAACCAAGAGTATAACTTTGCTGATAGAAACATACAGGCAGAGAAGCAGCAAAGCTCACTCTGAGGTTTGCGTGCGAAAACCAGCATAATTTAATTTCCCCTTTCCCCCCTTTGGGCCACTCCCTGTTCCTTGTCCACCAATCCAACATGTCCGATTTGTTTTGGGGAAAACAGTCTGCACCTTCAGAAGGTCCCCGTTGCACGGCCTTCAAGTCTTGGGATTTTTTCAGGCTGCAGACGGCTCACTTAAATTCCTCATCTCCCTCCCAATATATCCCAAGGGTTCCCCCTCCTGTTGTCTCTGTTGCCAAGCTGCGAGTTGAAGTGTGTTATGAGTCAGTCTTGACAATCTGGTCATGTGACTGCAAGGAGGCTGTTGTTCTGACCTAGGCTTCCCAAGATCATGAAGCAGACTCCTTGTCCCGATAAAACCCCTTTTATTTAGGTTAAAGTGAATTCCTCTCCAGCAAAGTCCCGCGAAACAGTCTTTCATGAGATTTCACAACTACTGACCTTTATCAGGCTCGGAGAGTTGCCAGGCTGATATGTTCCAAACGCCACGCTGTAGCAGAAATTACTTGGCAAGAAGTCAGGAACAGATCTAATAAATTGAACTAATTGTCTCCTGTGAACACCACTCCCCTTTTGCTCCTCTTTATTCCCTGTGGGAGGGGCCATTCACCGTCCACCTGTACCCTTACTCCCGAGTCGATCCTTGTTCCTTAACTGTTCCCTTCTCCTGGCAGCTCTGTGCATGTGTACATCGAGAACAGGCTCCAGCTATTCTTCTGCCTCACTGATCTCCGACTCTGAAGGCAGCTGTTAACTGTCAGTCGGCCCTGGCCCCGTCTCTGCCTCCGACGCAGAGCCCTCCTCAGAGCCTTCCCCAGACTCCAGGACTGGCCCATGTTCCTCCCCAATCTCCTCACTGTCCGAGTCTGCCGCCAGCTCTGCTGGCTGCTGCTGGGCCACAACAGCTGCCAATGGGCATAAATGCAAGCTGGCTGCCGAGATGGGGTCACATGACTACAAGGGGGTATCGGAATTTCGTAACCCGGTTGTAAATACGCTCAGGGAGGTCTGTTATAACTTTGAATGGTTACTAGGTGACCGGCTACAAGTTGCAGAGTACCGCTTGAGTTTGAGTGTCCTTATGCTTCAGTGGGTTTGTGGGGTTTTGTTTTGTTTTTTGTCATTGGAAGACGGATATTCTGATTATCCTGTTTTATCTAGAGAAAACTGACTTGAGGAATGACTTGCAACCGTGACTTGCAGAGCTGAGACAGCAGTCATTTATTATGTCATCAGAAAAAGTCACCTCTGAGTATTGTCCAGCCGAGATGTAACACAGTCTTAACGTTTGTTCTCGCCATGCAGAGACCCCAAAGACGCTTCTACTTCCCGAAAGTCACACTTGGAGCTCAAAAAAGAGAGGTATGTTTTCAAGGCTCTGGAGAGAACTCCTGCTCATCACCTAGGAAGGTTCTTAAAAGAGGCAAAGACAGGGGTGGGGCTGCTGGGGGTTCGCAGGAGTTCGGGAAAGCCCCTAGCTAAGATTCGCTGCAGTTCGGAGGACCCCCCAAATCCCACTCCTGGCTGGTCCCCTCCCCTCCCAGGAGTCCCCACACAACCCATTTTGGATGCAGGTAAGTGCAGGGCGCAGCAGAGGCTCTGGGAGGAGGAAAAACGGGCCTCCAGGAAGTTCAGGAAGGCTGGAAATGGACCCATTTCTGGCTTCCAAAGAGCCTCCGGAGCCCAGGGAGGCTGTTTTCACTCTCCTGGAGGCTCAAGGAAAGGACAGCCCCCCCCCCCCGCCCCCCGCTGCGGTGCAGGAGGCTGACTAAGCCACGCCCACCATGGCCACATCCACCCAGCAACTGGGCAGAGAACCGTTTGCTAAAATTTTTGAAGCCCAGCCCTGTGCAAAGATGTAAAGAATTAGAAAGGGAAAAGGAGAACCATTATTAAGGTGCCCGCAGGAAATCCTCCCCTCCCCCACCATCGCTACAACAGCAACCGCAACTTCTTGTTTGTGTATGCAAATGTTGCATTATAAATGAGTTTGTAATTGCAGTACAGCTTTCTACACAAACAGGAGTTGGCCCTTTATGCAGCAGTGACGTTGCAGTCTATATACTTGGCCATCCGCCCTCCCCATCCATTGTAGCCAGAATTAGTGGGTTTTAATGCAGTGTAACCCACAGCATCCTGAGCTTTCAGAGCATTAAATAGGAGCGTCGCATCCAAAGCACTTTTTGACCGACAGGATGCAGGTAGTCCATGAATTATGACCACAACTGGGACCAGGATTTCTGTTGTAAGTCATTGCGGTCCTAAGTTGAGTCAGAATCGATTTTACAGCGAGGAGGTCTAACAATGTATGCATCTTTGCCCATATTCTTCTTTTTCCCCCCTTATAAAGGAGGGATTCCAAAGATTCAAGATCTTCTAGCTCTACTTCTAGTTCCTCTACTTCCTCTCCCAAGAGACTGTTGGTGGACAGGTAAGCTAATCCAGCCCTTGTGTTAAGTCTACTACTGATCATTTTACTTTGGTTCTACTGATCTAGCAAGATACAGAATAACAGCATAGGAAGGGACCTGAGATCTTGGAGGCCTTCTAGTCCTCCTGCTCAGGCATGAAACCCTATACCCGTGATGGCGAGAGCCATTTGTGCTGCTGGCATGCGAGCTGCAGCAAACTTACCTCACTGTGCATGTGCATGCCTCACAGTTGATTTTCGCCCTGTTTGAGGCCTTTTTCAGCCTCCCAAAGGCTTGAGGAAGGCTTCTGCAGGCTTCTACAAGCTGTGTAGGCCGAAATCTAGCCCCGTTTCGTCACTTCCAGTTTTTTCAGAAAAACCGGAAGTGATGAAATGGGGCTAGATTTAGGCCTACAAAGCTTGTAGAAGCCTGAAGAAGCCTTCCTCAAGCCTTCGGGAGGCTGAAAAAGGCCTCAAACCGGCCGAAAATCAGCTGTGAGGCGCAGTGCAGGTAAGGGAGCGGCGGGCAGTAGGGGGTGGGATTGCACGTGCATGTGTAGGGGGGAGGGGGGCACGCATTGCCTTCTGGGTGCTGGCACACGAGCACGAGTGTGCAAGCATGTGCACAATTTATGGCACAGCTCAAAAAGGTTAGCCACCACTGCCTTATACCCTTTCAGATAATTGGCTGTCCAGTCTCTTCTTAAAAACTTCCAGTGTTGGAGCATCCATAACTTCTCGAGGCAAGTCGTTCCACTGATTGAGGAAATAGCTCTTATTATACTTGTACCTTAGAGGAGAGAACAGAACAAAACAAAACAGAACAGAATAGAATAGAATTCTTTATTGGCCAAGTGTGATTGGACACACAAGGAATTTGTCTTTGGTGCATATGCTCTCAGTGTACATAAGAAAAAATAAAATACATTCATCAAGAATCATAAGATATAACACTTAGTAATAGTCATAGGTTACTATAAGCAATCAAATCATACTAGGGAATAAATAAAACAATATAAATTGTAAAGATACAAGCAACACAGTTATAGTCATAAGTGGGAGGAGGAGATAGGTAATAGGAAGGTTGAGAAGAAGAATAGTACAGTCTTAGTAAATAATTTGACAGTGTAGATCACAGTGTTGGCATGGAGAGAATTTATGCCACTTCTTTGTTTTCAAAAGGACCTAAAATTGTGCTTTGAACGATCATGACCTGAACTGAAATTATGATGCACCTCTCGGTATCCACTCTAGGAGAACCTCCACCAGCTCCAACCCAGCAGCCTCGCCTCCTGGATCTCATAAAAACAAAGAGGATAGCAAAGATGAAAGGTATTGTTGGGGTGGAAGGTTTCAAAGAAAAAAACCAGAATAAATTAGCTACATGGAGAAGGATAGCCAAAACTTGAGGCATAAGAATGGAGAGCAGGACCAAAAAAAAAATAAGTGGCTCCAATTGCTAATTGGCATTAACAAATCAATCAAAGGAGTGTGCAGGCAGCATTTCTCTTCAGTTGCTTCTGCAAGAGCTGTTGTTCACTGTTACAGTGCTTTAGAACTGGATGTTTCCTATATCAGCCTAAAACAATTAGTTGTTAATAGACATCTTCCCTATGTTTTTATCTGAAACTTCTTCAGACCCATCTAAGTTATCAACTTCACTGCAGCTTCTTAGGATGGCAGAAAAAAAGGCTACATACGTAGTTTGTATAAGTGATAGGCAATTTGACTACAACTTCCCTTATTCCATGAAAATTTCAGGCTAAGATATTTGCAGGGTATGAGGTGCCAAATTCCGGTAAAGATTTATGTTTGAAAAAAAAATACTTTAATAGGAACATGAAATATCTCATTATTTGAATAAATCATCTGAGTACCTATTCAGTTTGATGGCCAGTTTTTTTTTTATGTTGGATAAACTCCTTAAAGACTCTTTCTTGGCTTTAGGTGTTTTCCCAGGCCAAAATATGAACTGACAGCTTTTTAAACAGAGCACATGTTCAAATAAAGGACTGTCCTGTAAAAGGATATACCTCGTGGCTGTTGGCTTCTTGTGTAGCCTTCATTTTTGCTTCTTATGAATTCTGCTGAAGTTTTCCACGGGATGTTCTAATATTGTGTAAGAGAGATAAAAGAAATTGCTTTTATGTCATACCTTTATTGGCTTTGAATTAAGTTGGCTGCATTCATACAAAGCTTGTAATCTGGAGAGTCGTTTAACCCATTTGCTAGATTTACCAGGGCAACCAAGTCAGGTTGGATTTGTAAGCTAAGCACCAAAGGTTGCACTAAAGTGCATGTTAACCAAGCTCACAATGTTGTACAAATACATCTTTTAAATCTTTTCCTAACTGGTTAAGCATGTTGTTATGAACATGTTGATTAATTACATCAGCCTTGGCTTAAAGTGTAAATAGCACAGTCCAGATTAGATCTGGGACAGGCCCTGCCATTAAGCAGGGTCCCCAGAACCTGAGTTTCAAGAAAAGAAAGCAAACAATTAGTTTTCTAATCCCCTTCTATTGGATTTTTGCAGTTAGGGAAGGAAGGGGTGAGTAGCATGGTTTGGCTTGGATAGCAAAATAATTTGATTGCTCTTGACTTTTTGTGATCCCAATGGCCTTCTGTCTTGGTTTAGAAGCTATACTGAAGTGGTCATAAATTAGCATTTTTCATTTAAAACAAAAATCTCACTTGATTTCCTGCTCAGATCAAATGACAGATCTCGAAGTGAGGTGTCTAGGATGCCAGCCAGCCCTGTCATGCCAACATTCGGAACTTCTGTCTGCTTCTTGCCCTCCTGCTATTTGACTGGAGACTCCATTAGGGACAAGTGTATTGAGATGGTTTCTGCAGCCCTGAAAATGGATGGTAAGAAAGAAAACATCCTTGGGGAATTAAGAAATTAACTTAGGATGAAAGTCAAGGGGCTCTAAAGAGTTTACAGTCTGACCTGGAACTCTGGTTCAGATGTTTTTATCTCTGGCTTTCACTGTGCTGGGAGTTACCTGTATGGCAAAAGACTGAGAAAATTCAGAAGTGTTCAAACAGTGATTTCTGAAGTGCACAAGTGTTGATTAGATTATATAACTACAAAGGCATTGCCAGAGTTATTGATATAGAGATAGCAACAGCACTTAGACTTATATACCGCATTACAGTGCTTTACAGCTCTCTCTAAGCAGTTTATAGAGTTGGCATATTGCCCCCAACAATCTGGGTCACTGACCTCGGAAGGATGGAAGAGTGAGTCAATCTTGAGCCGGTCAGGATCGAACTCCTGGCAGTAAGCAGAGTCAGTCTGCAATATCTCTGTGCCACCATGGCACAAAATTGATATTGTTATAGAGATGATTGATAATACCAATAGAATCAATTTTACTTATGGTTCCCATTCAAGCAGCAGCAGAAAATAGGAGATTCCAAAGGAAGGACAATGAAAGACAATGCATAAAAGCAGTCTGCAAAATAGGATAAAACGAAGAGCAACCATAAGATAAAAAGTTATCCCAAATTGAAGGCATTTGCAGGGAGAGCCAAGGAGGCAAATGGTGAAAAGAGCATCATGATGCAAACTCTACCCATTTGGGCAGGGTGTTACAACATCAAATGTGGGTATGGAAGGGACAGAACTTATGGCATGTTGCTTATCACTTTAATGAAAGCATCAGAACCTGTAAATGCTCCTGGTTCAAATAAATAGAATGGAAACAACAACCCACAGTTTAAAAAAGCCACATTCAGAAGTAAACAATTATTTTCCGCTGCTACTACTGTTCGTTGCTTTATAAGGGAATTTATTAGTTAATTATTTTATGCATTTATTTTTTAAACTAAGTTGGGGGTGTTCAACCTTAGCACCTTTAAGAAATATGGACTTCAACTCCATTGATGGCTGGGGAATACTGGGAGTTGACGTCTACATGCCTTAAAGTTGCTAGCCCTGATCTAAGTATAGAAGTTCAGGTTTTTTGGTTGGGCACAAAGCTGAATTTCATTTGGTTGTGCTGAATGATTTTTTCCCCTTCTGTCCCCATCTTCATTCCTTTCTCTTCATCACCATCCAAGACGATTACAAAGAATTTGAGGTCAACTGTGATAAGATGGCAGCCGAGATTGAAAATCATATCTTTTTGATATTCGGGTCTGCTGGTTATTAGTATGAGTGGGAAAATGAAGTTACAACTGCCAAAACATCTTAGGGAGATATTTACATGAGCGAGATTCGAACAGCTTGACCCAATGGTCAGATATGGGAGATTCCATTTGATACCCTACAATGGATGTCTCTGCCTTTGCAAAGCAGCAGTGGGAGATCTGGCTCACATCCTATTTAATTGTTACCTGTATGAATAACCCATTGGGATCCCCATATCAAAACAAATTACCTTATGTGCGACCAGAATCTGAAAATAACATTTAACACAGCATCTAGAAGCCAAGAGGAATATATGTGCCAAATTTCAAGTTTGTAGGCTTTACAGTTCTGGAGATTTTGTGATGATGCATGAATGGTATTTCGCATAGATAGATAGATAGATAGATAGATAGATAGATAGATAGATAGATAGATAGATAGAT